CACAAACATAACGCGAATTTTTAATCTAGGGTTTAGTTTATTAGTTGTGGTTAGAGGGAGGTTTGGGTTTCGGGTTGTCTATATTATTTTGATTAGTATTCATATTATGATTAGGAGTTGTTATTAATGAAGGTAATAGACTCATTCGTCTTTCACAAGACCCAATAACAACGGTATTAGAGCCAAATCAGTAAAGGGAGTAGAAAACCGTTACCCCATCTCACATCATTACTCTAATATTTGTGGTAACTCGATGAAGGTTTTTAAAACCGTCGTTATTTTACACACATTAATGACGGTCAAATGGTCCATTCACTAATTTTGGTCATTAAAGACCTGATTTCTTGTAGTGTGACTCTCTCGGCTACAATATACTCAATCTGGCAGGAGAGGAATGTCAGAATTTTGAATGATAATATACCTATTCATATGAAAGATACACTAGAGAGGTTGTAATTTTGGTTACTTGTTTACCAGAAAATTCTGGTATTTTGATGTACTGCACAATTTCATATTTGAAAAAATGAATAAAGTTTATTTCATTGACAAAAAAAGAAATAAACAAAAAAAAACACGAGTTGAATGGTTTCAAAACTATTTTGCATGATCTAAGGGGATCACAACCCCACTAAGGAGCGATTTTAGGGGTTAGTTACACCCTAAAACCCTTATAAATAGCTAGAAACTCAACTGACGAGATCTTCGGCTAGAACGTTTGGGGGATTGGCATTTTATCATCTCTTGGAGCATTTCGGCTAGAGCTTTTGAGAGATCTTTAGGCAACAGAGGGCTTGCAGACTTCAGATCTTGGAGAGCTTTGAGCATCATTTGGATCGGATCTTTGGAGCTTTGGTTTTGGCTTGAAAACCGATTTTGATTAAATAAAAAAAGGATTAATCTCATTTTTAAATTAACTCTTTTATAGAGTTTTAAACTCGCTAAGAGTTATTAACTCGTTAATAGTTTTAAACTTGTCTCACAAGTTCTCCTCAATGTCAATTCAAGAGAAATAGACAGTGTTCCACGAGTCGAAGCGATCAGATCATCAACTGGATACAAGAATCAAACTTCCATCGACACAAATAAGAACCCAGGTTTAAAAAAAAGGGAAGGATCTCCGTCGATTCCTTCTTTCTTTTGTAAATCGGGAAACTATAGAAGAGTTATAATTTCTTTTTCTAAATTAGTTAGAGAGATTGCAAAGAGAGATTGTATTCATTCTTTTTCTAAGTCAGTTAGAGAGATAAATACATAATTTTATTCTCATTTCTTCTTTAATTTTCCCACAAACAGTAATCAATATAGAAAAGTATGAATCATCTGAATCATCACCACCTTTTGAGACATTCACCTTGTTGGCCTTCGGCCCCTTCTTCTTGCTATTCTCTTTCTCTTTGAGCTTTGGGCAATCTATCTTCCAATGTCATTGTTCTCTGTAAAAGATACACTAGTTCTTCAAAATCTGGTAGTGGCCTCTAAACTATGACCTACCTCGATTACCATCTCTTGGATACGGACTCCTTCATCTCGTCGACAAGGCCTCTCTTGAATTGCTAGCTCTGGAAGACTCTTTATCCTTTCTCCTCAAGTCAAAATTCGTCAACACGTTAGTCACTTCACTATAGGTGATGGAAGATCTACCGTTCAATAAAGTGAGCACAAATGTATCATACTCCTCATCGGGTAAGGAGCCTAACAAAATAATCGCATTATACTCATCCGATATCTTCTCACCCACATTCGCCAAGTCCGACAATAACTTTGCGTAGTTGTTCACATGATTTGCAAGTGAGGTACTCCTGGATATCTGAAATCTGAACAATTTTGTAGTAAGTGCAACTAGTTCTCAACACTCTTCGTAAGATACTTGCTGTTGAGAATCTCTCACATCTTCATATTGAGGAAATACCAAAGCCAAACAAAAGCCTGAGATAAGTTGGCAGAGAATTTATTTTCTACTAAATGAAGCTCTGATGCCTCCAGTATATGTACATAGTACATATGTATATACCCGATAATTGGGTAAGCATTGTTTGCTACGGGTATAAGTAATAGGGCTACCTACATCCTTCACAGTTCTAAATTGATTAACTAGACAATGTATGGATGATATATTCAAAGAATCAACTTGTCTGTTTTTAAACTTCTCTTTATTAACTGGATCAACACTGAAAATAAGTAAAAACAATTCAATTAGTGTAAATAAACACATGGATTTTTCATTCAAGATAGTTGTAATTTGGATTTAGTCCATGAGCTAAAATGATAAACAAAGACAATGGTGCATCAAAGGTAGGAGTACATCAAAGGTAATGTCGACATTTTAAGATCTAGGAAACAGTATGGCTCGGAATGTGGTTAGTAAATTTTACACCACAAGCAACATACTAAAGAGTCACTTACTTCTAGTACAACATCAGGGTTAATGTCTGAAAGAGTCTGAACAACAGAATCTGTCTTGGTCATGCCAGCCTACAATAAGGAACAATTTTGTGACTAAGAGTATTCCATCAAGAAAGAAACTATAGCAAATAGGAATGAATAATTTCTAACATTAATAAGTGAAATTGAAAATCTAAAGAACAAAGAATATGTGAAAGCTGACCATTTACAAAGCAAAGAAGGAAAAACTTATGTGAGGAAAGATAAACTTACCTGGTCTGAACGAAAGAAAAGCCTATTCATGTTCGCCAACTCCACTGTGTCATATTTCCAATTTTATATTGCCAATAGAATGAGAATAAAATTAAACACTGTTAGCGTCAAGTTTCTAAAGCAGACAAGTTAAATATATAAAAGCATGTAAAGCTTGAAATTATATACCTACGCACACTTAGGTACCTGCATATACAATTCTCAAAGACTCATTCATATTGAGAGCCATAACATTTCATCTCTAGAAAAATATAAATCTTGGCATCCTAATTCACAGACCACTTCCAATGGCGTGTATCCATAGAGATTAATCTTTAAAATGATATACTAATTTGCGTGTGTGTGCATGTGTCCATATATATGAATGAAAACAACTGCTCATATTTGAGAAATATCATTCCATAGGTGGCTAAAATATTAATCTCAGTTTCCCCGTTTGACCACAATTAGGCACGCATCATAGAGATTACTTCTTCCCGGCATGCTCCTCCCAATCCATCAGGAGCGTTGTATCTCAAATGTTCAAAATACATCTTTTCCACAATAAAGTGAGACGAATAACCATTGCACCCCAGGTATTCAGCATATCATAGTACATAATGTGCATAAAATTTTCATGCCACTAAAGAAATAATCAAATATGCAATTAATGTGTAAAAAAAGTCTTTAATAGTAAAAAGTACCTAACTTCTCCAATCATAGAAGTTAACGAACTCCGGCAAATTGAGATGTCATGCCTGGGGTTTTTCCTGTAGTGAAAAAGATGCCTTTTCTTGGCATATTGATCTAAACCCCATACTGTGCTACTTGCCATTGTCAAAACACTATACCTGCCTACGACCTAAAATTAAATGCTTTCCGGTCTAAACACGACACAAAAAATTTCTGGGAATTTTTGATGTGGTTGCTAGACCATTATTGTACATTGACCCACCAAGTAAAACTGCAAAAATACTACTATACAATCGTATACAGAGAGGGAGAGAAAAAAATCCCCAGTGAAGTGTGTATGTACTGCAACTGCAAGTGAGTAAGAATGAAGAAACAGGGAGACAAATACGCACTACTATCGCGACCGAGAAATCTCGTATCCTTTCATAGTTCTGCACAATACCCATTCGTTGAAGTGCCATTAGTCTACTATAGGGGTTGCTATCCACCTCCTCGGCACTCATATCCTGCACCCTCCAACATAACATTTAAGATTAACCATCATGCACAATTAACATTAGGAATAAGGAAAATAATAAGACAATTTAAAGTTTGTATACAAAGTAAAGACCTTGACTTTCGATCGCCGGGCGGACCCCGATTTCGACATGCTCATGATTTTATGTACTCTTTGTTGCAACTGCAGAATTCAATTACAAATTGAAACAAAATCCCAAACAAACATCAGGTTAGGTTAAAATTTTCAAAAAAAAGACAGAATTGGAGGGCTGAGATCTATGAATTGACAAGTGAACCTTGTTGATGGAATCATTTTGATCGGGATTGGGTACAGATCGCTTGAGGGTTTCAAGATCTTGGAGAAGCGATCTCAGTTATTCCTCCATTGGTCGCTCCCTCTAACGGAGTGCCTGGATTCGGTCTCAGATTTCTTGGGTAAATAAAAGTAGGGTAAACTATAGGGGTACCTGAGCGCAATTACACCTAACAAAAACTGCTACCTGAGTTTTACTGTCGAGCCTGGGGTGACGATGGGCTGGGGCGGTGATGTGGCGGTGCTGGGGCGACGCCGGCGCTGGGGCGGTG